CAAAGTACAAGCTAGGGAAGTTGCCCCTACTGTTATGGGTGGCTTAAAGAGCATGCGTCCAAGAGTGGCTGGAAGAATTTCTAAGGTTGAAAGGCTGCCAGGAGTAGTGGAATGAAGCTTGGCAAATCTTAGGGAAGCAGGTAAGTGAGTCAGCATTTGCTTCATTTTAATCCTAGTAAAGACCACATGAAATTTCACTGCTGGTGAAGCTGACGGAGGGTCATCTAAAGAGGCTCCCCTCAGGGGACTTGTGATGACTAAACTGGCTGTGATAACAAGAAAGCTCCGTCTTATGGAAGACGATAAGTGTGGTACCTTACCTCCTTGGTAAGTGTGGACAGAGTCCAAACACCAACAGAGACCTCCCCCTACCACCAGACAGCAGACAGTTCTTCCTGGGAAATGTGGATCAGTATGGTTCCAGTAGTTTCCTATGATGAGATCAGGAGAGACCCAGCATGGGTCTGCCCGTGAGAGAATCACCTCCAGCCTGCTTAGCCCTACTTGGAGGTCTACACATCACCAAGTGTTTTGTGTTTTGGAGGGGTTTTCAGTGGTAGCCTTCTCCATGTTCCTTGTGTGGGGAATGGGGACAGAATGAGAACACTACAGTTTCTCCAGATAGGGGGAGAAGTAGGAAGGTCCTTGCAAGTCCTAAATCTGCATCCTCTGGCCACAACATTTTGAAGAGGACAGTGGTATGTGTCAGCAGAGGCAGCTGAACCTGAAAGGTCCTTCTGTGACAGGTAGCTGACAGAAATTCTAATCTGCCCAGTGTAAACTAAAGAAGCTGTGGTGTGCAGACAAAAGTACCATTGGTACGCAGGCACAGTTTCCTTGAACAAGTGGATAAATTGGCCTCCTGTTCACCTCCTCTCTCAGTCAAAGCAAACTAGCTGTGATATTTGTCATTTACCACTTTCCTACTGTTGAATTGTTCAGTGATAAGAACCTTATAAGCTAAGACAGTGTACCTATGTAAGAAAGGACCTGTGAAAATAGGATCTTTCTCCAGAAAGAGTGAAGATAAAGAGGTAGTAGGGAAAAAAATGCTTGGGGAAAAGAAAACAATTAGCACACACATTTTGGGGACACTGGAGAATTTTGGGGAAAGTAAATGGAGGGAATAGCTTTGGGAACTCAAAGAGACAGAGATTGAAAAGAATATATAAAAACTATTTTACTTTTCTAAAAACATCTTTTTAAAAATTAGAGGGGCTGGACAGATAGCTCAGTAGAATAAGCACTTTCCTGTCAATCGCAAGGGCCTGAGTTCAATCCTCGGTTCCACAAAAAAAATAAATTAAAATAAAAATTAATTTGATACAGGGCCTCATTATGCAGGTCGGATTTATAGTGATCCTCCTGTCTCTACCTCCCCAGTGCTGGGATTACAGGCATGCATGGTAAGCCTACGGTTCCAGGGTCTGCATGGCATGTGGTACCAGGGATTGAACCCAGATCCTTGTGCTTGCCTGGCAGGTACTTAGACTGTGGAGGTATCTCCCCAGCCTCTATTTTACTTTTGATTGCTAGACTATGGTTCTTTGAAAGTAATAATGTACAAATATAAGGCTATATTAATCCCATGATTTTATTAGACCATGTCATAGCAGAGAGAGACATTTCCAGTCAATCTTACACAATCCCCATCTCTTCAGCATTTCCACAATTATTCGATTCTTCTTTCAGTTTTGAGCTTGGATCTCTATATGGCTATGTGATCTGTTTATTTGTGGTTCATCTTTATTCCTAATTGTGAGTTGCTTCTGAGACCCAACCAAATAAGGAGCCTCACAAGTTAAGCCCTGTCTCCCCAGCCAGAAAATTCTCAAGAACATCACTCAGCTTCTCAACAAGCTCATCTCTAAGAGAACAGCGCCAACCACCAGGCTAACCCTTACTTAGATCTTGGCCTGCTACAGTATCTTGTAAACCATGATATATCAACTACTTTGTGTATGAACTACTTTTTAAAATAGCTTTTATGGGCTTGTGAGATAGCTCAGTGGGGTAAGCACCTGCTTTTGCAAGTACAGAAACCAGGGTTTGATTCCTGGTCCTGCATGCTGCACCAGGGCCCTGCACCCAGTGCGCTGAGCTTTTGAACCAGGCCAGGCATGGTGCATACCTGTAATGCCAGCACTGGGGAGTCTAAAAATAGGAGCATCACTACAAGTACGAGCTGCGTAGTGAGACCCTGTACCAAACACATAAATGCAAAATAATATTAATAATAAAATAGCTTTTCTTGTCCTCATTCAAAGTATTTGTTACAGTTTCCTAGATCTGTATTAATGGGTATGGAAATTTCTATTATCCTCACTATAAAAATGAGGTACAGACAACTTAGGGAACTTGCTGAAACTAGCAAGTGATGTGAGCTGAGATTCAGCAAGAAAACCTATCCCACAAATGTTTTCTCAAGCATCTAATACATGTTGCTTCCTGGCAAAACCTGAGGAATGGTTCCATTCTCTATGTTTGTAAAATAATCCAGGAAGTGTTTCACAATCAAAATGTTCAAAGGGCCAGCTAAGTAGAAATTCTCTATGCGCCTGTCAACAGTAGAATGGATAAAGTGTGGCATATTCATAGTGAAATAGCACACAGGAATATACTAACTTGAAAAATGATTGAATAATATATGCAGGATGAACCTCAAAAGCATGACTTTTAGAGGAAAATGACTACTGTTTTATGTTCAAATCTTTAGTGCTTAAAAATTGTTAAAAGTTTCCATTTAACAATTTTATCTGAAGGATTGAGGCTAGTCTAATCCTACTGGTTTTAGGATAGCTTCTTTGTACAATTCGCAATTTTGGATTGTGAGTTTATCTTACATGGAGCTTTATCTGTGGGAATTTATAAGTCTGGCTGGAAGAGTTTTCAACAAAGTTTTGTGCTTGCTTTTACCAGTACACCAGCCTCACCTGTCATGCCTACTAGTCATTTCATAAGAATTTTTCATTTGACTTTGTGGTTTTGAGGTAATGAAAAATAGAAAAATATTAAATTCCAGATTTTATAAATTCTGGCTTGTGACTGATTTCTTAGAGAAGTCTACTGTAGTTTTTCAACACATAAAGTCGAGAGATTTTCTTGTAGGTTTTGTATGTTTCTGTTTTACCAAGGGTCTAGATGGAAATTTTGTTATGTGATTTTCAATTTCCCACCTTAAAACTTTTGGTTTTCTATGATATAAACACAACAATTTTCTGGAACAATAGCTTTCTACCACCACCACCACCACCACTCAGCCCTAGTGCCAGGCTTGTCTTTATTTACTTCATAGATTTTAGGCCCTGTGATTTTGAGCCTATGATTTTTAGGCCTATGAAGATTTTTATATCTTCATAGATTTAAGATTTTGAGCTTGTCTCTACCTTTACAAGGTCAGTTATATTTTACGCAGATTTCTGGTTTTTGCAGTGGTAGTTTTAAATTTTCTATTACACCATGTTGTTTATCAATTAATAATTCACATCATTAGCTCACTAAAAACCACCAATTTATAAAATTCCTTTGATCAAAAACTCATTTTGATCTAGACAACGCTCTCTTCTGATTTGTGTTGGATGTAAAATCAACATTTTGTTTGCATTTTATGAATAAGACAGTTCTTCCAGCTCAAGTATAGTCAGCCTGACTTCTTGAAGTCATTACTTAAAACTACCACTGTCCATGTTTGAATCAATGACCGAGGGCTTACCGTTCTGCTATAGTTTAACAGTAGACCTGCAGTTTTAAAATGAATGTCAATATTCTTGTATGAAATGCTGTTTAAAAGACAATGAGCTCTGTCACAAGACAGTAACCCCTACTTTCCCAGTCAGTAGAACTTTCTAGAGAAGGCCTAAATTACTTGGTGCCACTACTCTAATGCATGGCTTTGCCCATAGCTGGCTCTTGTCTATGGAGAGGGCAAAGATATGAAAGGTATTAGAATATGCTGCTGTGAGTCAAAAGAACTATAAGTGGATGGTCAAACCTATAATCTGCTAATTTTTAAAGCTATTTGTTGCAGCACTATTTCTGTTTAGAATTCCCACAGACAGCTAGTGTTTGAGAGGCATCCCATAGTGTAAATAACCTGTGATTTTATAAACTTAGCAGGGTGTCCCTGTGAAAGACAAATATTCTCTGGCTCTATCCTATGGTCTTTAACCTAGTAATTATAGAAAGTTATTTTAAGAAAGGGTCCCTACTATATCAGAATATAATGTATTCAGATGGCATGAAGCTTTTGAAAAGATGTTTAATATGATATGCATATTGAACAGGATCCATTTAGAAATATGTACGTAGCCTACAAACTACTGAATACCTGCCAGATTATGAAACTGGAGAATAAGAGAAAAAGCTCCTTAATTAGAAGTTGTGAACCCATCGTTCTAAATTAAACAAAATAACACTGAAAACCAAAATTTACCTGCTGGCTCAGCAAATAATCTCCACCAAGAATGGATTACCAAATTCATCTAAACTAAGATACAGATATCTAGTAGGCAAATAAACATTCTCAACCAGCTGCTGGGGGGCGGGGGAGCCTTAGTGTTATGCAAATTTAACCTTTTCCTACTCCTTCCACTACCATTTTTCCTGTAGAAAAATCAAATCCTCATTACTAAGCATATGTGAAGAACCACCCAACTTCCTGTGTGGTTTCCCATGGTTATAGTGATGGTGGTGGTGGGGGGAGGGAGGAGTCAGATGTAGAATAAGGTTTTCAGAAAGTTCTGGACCAGGTCAGCTCCATGTCTTGGAGAAAGAGCTGCAGCATGTGTCATCTGCTCCATCCCTGGGCTCTCCAGGCCTTCACAGAGAGTGAGAACTAAGAAGTCCATGCAATGAGTTTCTATAGGCAAAATAATAGGCCCCAGTGAGGGGAGTAGTGGCTCTCTGGACTGGTCTGTGAGCGGCTGAAGAGCACATGGTTTGGGTTTCAACTAAGCTGGGAGACAGGGAAAGAGGGAAACAGAATAAACACAGAGAAAAAATATTTTTTAACAAAGTTATATTTTAACTGCCTAGGCAAATGGTGTTTGTGAAAATACTTATATGAAAAGCAATACATCATTTTGATTTTACTTAGTCGTTACTGTCATGTTTTGATGAAAGTGGAAATTTACAATAAAATGAAACCATATGAGATCAAGAATTATGTACAATTCTGTGATCAGATGATCTGTAATTCAGGTAATGTCCTGCTTCAGACAATATCTTGATTGCTCATTTCAGTTGCTGCAGATGCTATTTGAGGAAGCAGAGTGCAAGGATAGAGAGAAAAACAATTAGATGTGCCAGGCTAAGTAATCTAGACCATTACAAGGAATATAAATAACAAATAGTACAGTACAAATAAGCAGTGCATTTAGTATAAAATTGCATTTCCACGAAGAAGCAGTCTGGTACCAAATGATTACACAAAAACATGTTAAAGCTATACAAGTCACACATACACGGTGTCACAGTCTACGTAAAACTTGGGTAAGAACAAGTTGTCTGAAGGCCACATCCCCTGCTGAAGCTACCAAAGGCTTTCAACAGAACCTCCTACTTTGGAACAGCTATTCAAAAAACTGCACCGTCAGGTTTCCTCAGACTTAATGACTCAATTATTTGGCTTTTGCAAGATAAGCTATAAGCTTCTCAAGAGGGTCAAACTGTAAGACTGAGGTAAAGACACTACACATGAAGGAACGTTTTGTTGGCACAGAAGACTTACATGAATAAATTTACATGAATACTCTTTAAAACATTGGTGTTTCTGACAGGATATATCTACCACACACCTATAATACTGGCAGGAGAAACACTGTAACACAGAGATGAAGGTCAGAGACTATCCACTGATACCAGCAAAAGCACAAGTCTTTCTTTCACTCCACAGAGCACACACTGAAATCTCAAGTTTACCCTTTTCAACCCTTCCATCTCTTGAATGTTTCCCATCCTATAAAGCAATATACACAGTATCAACTTCATACCTGAAGTACTTAACTAATAAAAAGTATTACATAAGTCTTCCTTTAAGTAGCAGTTTTTAATCATCTACTCCAAAGGTATTACATGATCAGTTCTGAATAACATACACTCTAATCATATAGTGACATCCAAGCTAACAACAAGGAGTCTGGGCCATTAAAAATCTGCCTGCGGTTTTCTCAAGTATCAAAAGTCAATCTGTCCACCCTTGTTTCCCTTTCACTCCAGTGGTTATTTCTGGCTAATAGACAGCAATCGTGGCCAGAAATGAGGCTGTCAGTGCGGCCACACAGCGCACAACCTGTGACCTGAATAGGCCCTGTCCTTAGCCATTTGAGGGTTACCTCAAAGGGAAAGAAAGAGGAGCTGGCTGTGTTGTGCTGCAGGATGAGATCTCCAAGCAAACCAGCTTGGCTGCAGATCTATCGAGAGAGCAATGACACAAGACATCAATGGAGAGGTAATCTCTGATATCACTTTCTGTCACTGACAAGTCACCCCGCTCCAACTACCCACACATAAAGTGTTGTGCACTCGCTCCACAATCACTATTTTTATTTCATTCATCCATTTTTACACAGAATCATATTCTATAATTAAATGACTGAGGATGCAAGGAAGCAATTTCTTAAAAAAAATTTGAAGCAAAATCATGTTTCCATGTACTTGACACTAAACTTATTATCAACAGGAAAAATCTCAATGTCCTAATGAAATGGTGAGCTAATTTTAAATTTAAATTATTTTAGGTTGACTTTTTTCATTCAGTTTTATATTCATTAAGAATTGACAACAAACAAAAAAATTGAAAACAAATGTAAAGGCTTCAGTTAGAAAGGAATTAAATTAGATATGTACTTTGGTCACTTGCTAGAAAATCTTTTTGCAAGGAAAAATTGCTTCTCATGGACAGATACTTAAATTTTTACTGAAAATTTTACTGCAAGATATTCTCCCCACTTTCCAACTTCAGAAAGTATTGCACATTCATTTGTTACTGCTGTTGTTACAGAATAAGGTACTGTGTAGGAAACTGGAAACTAGCCTTATCTGTCCAAGCAACAGGGTAGATTGTTTCTGCATGCCCCAGCCCCCAAAAAACCCCTAAAAATTGGGGGTGGGCCATGTAATAAAAAAAAAAACTATAAAATCTTTCTATATTCTCTAACCCGGAACTTGAACTCATTTCTGTTGATTGTGAAAGAAATGCAGGGACTGGAGGCAAGGACAGCTCAGCTTTGATCCCGAAAAGCCTGCAGGAACAGCACTCTGGGCAAGAACAAGGATTCATGAGCAGGAGCAGGGGCAGGGTATGGGCACATGTCAGGCTCTGCTGGTCCCCAAGTTTCAGTGGTGGCCTTAACATGAGGTCACAATGCCATCTGTGGGCACATTTCTGGCAGCTTCCAAGCTCCTCTTTCCCTGCGCTGGAAGAGGAAGCTGCAAACTGAGTTGGAAACATGAAAAGTAACCATAGGCTCTCAACTTTGTCAGCATAAGAAGCTTCACTGTGCAAGCTGTGTAGCAGCCTTGAAGGGCAGTGCCCTTCAGAATCTCCTCACGATGAACCCTCTAGTCACAGGATGTCCAGATAGAAATGCACTGCATGTTCCTTTTTAATGATGACAGAAACTCTTCAAATTTTATAAACCTGTACTCATTTTACTGTCTGGACCCAAGGGCATAGGATTGACTTCAGGCATTTTTCATATGCTTGGAATCTAATTTTATGAATTTACTCTAAGACATAAATCAAGTATGAGAAGTATATAGATGGATTTGTAAAAGAAATTGGGCTCCCTGGGCACTTACGGTAGATTCAGTAGTGAGAGGTTTACAAAGACACAATTCTCTAGAAGATTAAGGAAGATGGAAAACAAAATCAAGTTTTCTCTCCTCAGTAGTGACTTGGATTAATTTTTTCACCAAAAGCACATCACTGAAGGAAAACAAGAAATGGTTTTTCAGTTATTATTAAACTGATTCAAGACCCAGGGAACTCCTTGAGATGGAAACAAAACAACAGAGCACTCAAGTTTTCTTGACAAGACTACCTTTTACTGGCAAGACTTAGGGCACTTCTGACTTTAAAAAAAAAAAAAAATTGCTAAAGAAAGTTTTGAAAGAAAAAAAACAAAACTACTACTGCATATTGGCCCCCAAACATTTTAATCTGCTGTGTAAAATCCCCATTTCCTTCTGAATCTCCAAAGGTTACACCAGTTCATTCGAATGCCTGGCAATCAGCTTCCCGAACTTTGGTTACGGCTCATCTAAACCTTACAGCCAGACGACACGTGGTGGCTGCCGGCCCTGCTGCGGTCTTTGAGTCCTCTCACGAAGGGGTAACTGTGAAGCTTGGGGCTCCGTCAGCCACAGTAAAATGCTTGGAGAAATACAGGGAAGAAATCAAATGTAACAAAGGAGATTGCAAGAGCTTGGGGGACTTCCGAGCTCTTTCCCAAAATTATAGCCAGAGTGCTCTCAGTTAAAATGTCTGGCACAGTGGTGCCTGATGTTTTGTGCAGTTTGACAAAAACAAATACAACATGGAAAGGAAGCAAGATCTCTGCTGCACTTCCAGCATGCTCAGAGTGAAGCTGCTTTGCTTTCATTTGGGGGCCTCTTTGTCTCTAAAAGGTGCTAATGAGGGAGGGGGTTGGCTCTTCTGGATAAGACTCCAGCCAGGTAAATAAACTTGCACCTTTCCCAAGTCCTCAAACAGATCCTAACACCACTGGTTTGCTGTCTCCTGATTGTCAAACTTGAAAGATTCTCCTCAGATGGGATACACAAGGCTTACTGCCATGAGACCACATGACACTGGCCATCTTTTAAGAAAAGCTTGCACATTCAGGGAAAAGTTAAGGATTTGGTATAAACTGCAGACCAGAGGGAAGTTGTGAAATCTACAGCGCTTTAGCAGCATGCTGACTCTTGCGCTGCCTCAGGGAGTCCTCCGCCACCTCCGTGCCGGCTGAGGAGGGCAGCCCAGGGCTGTCTCCTTTAGTCTCCTCAGGTCCTGCTTCCTCCTGGGCCACAGTGGCCTCCGGCAGGGAACCCTGGTCATTGGCATCACTCCTCCCCTCATCCACGCCAGCAGCCACACTGTCCCCTTCCTCCTCCTCCTCCACTTCATCCTCATCGCCAAGGTCTTCTTTCTCCTCTTCATCATCTAAAAGGCTGTCCTTATTTTCTTCTTCATTCCAATCATCCTTTTCTTCTTCCGCATCCTGCAACTGTTCAGCTCCCTGAGCCTCCTCTGATCTCTGATTTTGCTCTGCAGAGAGAAAAGAGAAAAACACTCCGCTTAAACAATGGAAATTCAGTACTGAGTTATATTTAGCTGTGAAATGAAACAAAGGGATGGGTGACAGTTTTCTCCACCTTAAAGTCCTAGTACGTTATGACACAGGGCAGAGTGTCTAGTGGGCAGCTAAGTCTCACTTGGGGTTTCTGCAAGCCACTGTGGGGGCCCTAATTGCCTACAATGACTTCAACAGAGCACAAGGCATGGAGGGCGAGGTTTCCTTCACGCGCTGCATTTTTTACCTTTTTGAAGGCTCAAAAACATACTTGGTCATGGTGACTGGCACAGGAGAGTAAGGAGAGGTGAGCCAATCAGAGTACTTTCCAGGGACTTGGAGCCAGGGTCTGCAAGGAAGGCCTTCTTCCTCATCAGGGTTGTTAAACTAAGATGCGAGCTGGGACTGGTAGCAGCCACTGAGTGAGCCCACGGGAACAAAAACCTACCATCACTGGGGCTGAACTTGATTTTTGATTATGGCCTAATAAATCTCATTTTCTCCCAAGATTGTTAAGATTAGTTTTCTGTCTCATTTAAGAATTCTAAACAGAAGTCTCAAAGCCTCAAAAATTTCAAAACCAAAAACAAATATGAGCTTATGTAAACTCCCAATAAAACCACCAAACTACATAGTGCAAATAGGAATAAAGACATTCAAAGCCAAGGCCATTCAGTCCTAGGTCAGGATGGAGCACAGCAAGGGTGTAGGGAGGCTGCATCTCACAGGACTTAGTGCAGAGGCATCATGACACACAGCAGAAAATCAATGCATGTGAGCTCCCACCGTCTTGTTCCAATAGGAATGAGGAAAAACTGCCCATTACATAACAAAGGGTATAAATTTCAGGGAAAAATAATGACCAATAAGAAACATTTTATAACAGGAAGAAAAAGAATCCTTGTCCTAATCCACCTAAAGAACATTTTAAGGAATTGGATAGTGGTTTGGTCACCTAGCAAGTCAAGGAAAAATTCAGCATCTCCTAAAAGCATTTCACAGAAATTACAAAACTATTGTGCCACATGAATACTTACCAGAATGTTCAGATAAATTCCTTGGAAGTGGCACATAGAAGCATTCTGATATCACCACCAAGACCTGGAGGTAAGAAAAGTGACTGTTAATAGTTATTACCAAAGGGCCTCAAAATCAGGCCTTGCCTTTATAATTAGATATTCTTAGAAGAAAAATAATTAGCAGCTGGTCAAAAGTCTTCAAAATGGCATGATTATAATTAAGAATCTCCTACTTTATATGTACCATAATACAGAAAAGATCCACAGTCTACAGAAAGCCCACTATAAGTAAGTGCATCAAACATTGTAAGAAAACAGGCACGAGCAGCTGAATCTAGAATTGTCTCCTTAAGAATAGCATTTTCAGCCAATAAAACTGCATTTGAGCTGCCCCATATCAACAGGTAGACCCCAAGGGAGTGGAAGAACACATTAGAGTCTGGAAGCCTTGAAGCACCGTAAGAAGCTTCTCCACTGACCATCTGTGAGAAAACTCACTGACTATGTTTATATCCTGGGCTTTGCCTCCGACTGTCACTGAACAAAAGTCCCTTTCTATGTAAAAACATGTCTTTGTCAGGCCTTTTCAGGGCAGGATCTGCCCAGTCCATTCTCATATTGGAGACCAGCCAGCTCCGCACTGATGACACTGAAGACCAACAAGGCAGAGTCACTTAGGGCCACTCTCCATCTGTGATTGAGCACCACGTAGACAGCCACCCAATGCTAGAAAAATCTGCGTGCTTAGAAAGTGACGCATTTCTCCTTACACCACTTAACATGGTGGTGCAGGTCCAGCAGTTGGGAGGCTGAGGCAGGAGGATTCCTGAGAGTTTGAGGTCTGCAAAACCACATGGAGGGACCCTGTCTTAAAGTAAACAAACAAGCAAAACATTTCCAGTGCCCAACTAACTTTTTCCCAATTAGTGGGCTTTCTTGTTACCCTGTTTGCTACAATTTTTCAGTAAGATGAGATACCAGTTATTGACTGTTTCAAGTATTTCCTGTGTAGTTTGGTTTTTGTTCATAAACTCTCTGCTTACCACTATATCTTTAAGATTTCTACTTTCTCCTCCAGTAGATTTAGGGTTTGTTTTAATAATTAGATCTTTGATCTATTTTTACTGTAGTGCGTGGTAATACACAAGGGTCTAATTTTAGCCTACAGCATGTGGAAAGCCAGTTTTTCCAACATCATTCATTAACAAGGCTATCTTTCTTCCAGTGAGCATGTTTGGACCCCTTGTCAAAAGTAAGGTGACTGAGTGTGTTGCCAGTTTAATTTCAAAGCAACACAGAGAATAACCCTGAGCCCAGGGTGTCCTTCGTTGTCTTGGGTCAGAAGTGCCAGCAGGAAAAGAGTAAACCTGTCCCTGGAGGGTAAAGGCAATGCTACTGAAGAGTTACAGCCAGCACCCTGTGAGTCTCCACTGCTTTGGTTCAGCACTGACACCAGGAGAGTCAGTCCAAACCCTGTGTCCCCTCCATTGTCTAGCAGGACGAGTGAAAGTAGTGTCAGTGGGAAGAGTGTCAGCCTGTACTCCTGGAGTCCTCCACTGCTTCTGATGCACAGTGCTAGTGGGAGGAGTAGGTGTGTGACCCCTCCATTTTCCCAGGAAAGTGTTTCCAACCTGAAGAAGTGGACAGGTTCCTAGATACAATCAAATTACCAAAACTAAATCAAGAAGATAAAAAAATTCTAAATAACCAATAACAGCCAGAGAAATTGAAAATGCAATTGAAGATTTACCAACAAAGAAAAGCCCAGGCCCTGAGGATTCACTGTGGAGTTCTACAAAAACTTGAGAGAAGAACTAATGCCATGAATGCTGGAACTCTTTAAGGAAATTAAAAGAGAAGCAGTACTTATCATGTTATTTCTACAGGCAAGTATTACCCTGATTTCAAAATCAGAAAATATGTAAATAAACAACAAAGAAAGAAAACTATAGGCCAATTTCCCTAGTGCACATAGAAGAAAAAACCTTATAAAAAATCCTTAATAAAATAATGGCAAGCAGAATGCAGCAAATCATCAAGATTATATATCATGACCAAGTAAGATTAATGCCAGGGATACAGGGATGGTTCAAAACTAACACAAAAATCAATAAATATAGCGTTACATTTAACAGTATAAATATAAATATAGTGTTATATTTATACTATATAAATATAGTATAAATACACTATATTAACAGAGCAAAATACAAAAACCACACGATCATCTCAAAAGATGCAGAAAAAGCTTTATAAACAAAGTCCAACACTTACTCATGATAGAGACCCTACAGAAAACTGGAATAGATGTTCTTTACCTCAATCTTATAAAAGCCATCTATGGAAAACCAATGGCTAATATATTAGATGGCTAATAAATGAAAATAAGGAACAAAACATGGATATCCATTACCACCACTCCTGTGCAATACAGTTCTGGAAGCATTAGCCAGAGTAATTAAAAAACAAAAAATAAAAGGGATAAGGATAGGAAAGGAAGAAGTTAAATCTATTTACAGACAACATGATATTCTACATAGAAGATCCCCAAAACTTCTAGAGTTAATATACAAACTCAATAGTATAGCAGGACACAAAGTTAACACTCAAAAGTCAATAGCATTCCAATACACAAATAACAAACTTACAGAAAGAAAAATTAAGGAAAACACACTCTTCACAATATCCACAAAAAAGAAATACTTAGGTATTAATCTAAGAAATGATGTCAAAGATCTGTAGTGAAAACTATAGTACCCTAAAAAAATAAAGGGCTGGGGAGATAGCTCAGTAGAATAGCGCCTGTCTGGCAAACCCTAAATTCAATCCCTGGTCCCTGGTACCGTGGGGGGTGAGGGGGGAGAAAGGAAGAAAACTATAGTACCCTAAAGAGTCAGACTGAGGAGACTATCCGAAAATAGAAAGATATTCCTTACTCTTGGATAGGAAGAACCACCACAATGAAAATGGTGGTCCCCAAACTGCTATATAGATTTAATATAATCCCAAGGAAAACACCATTAACATACCTCACATTCCTGAAATTTATTTGGAACCAGAAAAGACCTAAAATAGCAAAAGCAATTCTGGACAACAAAGGCAAATACGGAGCCATCACAATTCCTGACCTAAAGTTATACTATAAAGCTACTATGATAGTCAGCATGATAGTGGCGTAAAAACAGACCTGAGGACAAGTGGAACAGATTAGAAGATACAGACACAACTCCAAACACACTCAACCATCTTAATCTTTGACAAAGGAGCCAAACATGTTCCCTGAAAGAATGGTGATGGAAAAACTGGCTTTTCGTGTGCCAAAGACTAAACCTAGACATGTATCTATCACAATGCAGTAAACTAAAGTCAAAATGTATCAGGGATCTAAATATTAAAATACAAATTAAATTTACTGGAAAAGAAAATAGGCAGAAGTCTTGAAGGCCTGGGGGTAAGCAGAGACTTCATGAACAATTCCCCAGCAAGGGAAATACTGCAAAGAATCAGCAAATGGGATCGATCTCAGCTTATTTGAAAACTTTTGCACAACAAAAGAAATCACAAACAAAGTGAAAAGATAACCCACAGAATAGGAAAAGATTATAGCCAGGTTTCTCACAGAAAAAGGACTTATATCCAGAACACAGAAAGAATTAAAATAAGGCCGGCCAGATAGCTCAGCTGACTAAAGCACCTGCTTAGGCAGACGCAGGGACCAGGGTTAGATACTCAGTGTGCTGTGCCGACCCTGTCCCTAAGGCGCACTGAGATGATGACTGACACTGGGCGTGGTGACATGCCTGTGAGCTGAAAACAGGAGGATCACTATTAGTCCCAGTCAGATCTAGTAAGACCCTGTAGACTCTGTACTAAATACTTAAAAAAAAAAAAAAAAAAAGGAATTAAAATAAATCAGATGCCCCTCCCCCCAATTCAAAGACCCAATCCAAAAGTGGCATTGGAAATGAATGAAGAAATACAAATGGCAAATAGGTACAAGAAAAAATGTTCAGCATCACTGGTCATTTGAGGGATGCAAACTAAAACGACAATGAGATTCCACCTCACTACAGAAAGAAGGCCATCATCAGAAAATCAACTTACAACAAATGCTGGAGGGTCTGTGGAGAAAAAGTAACCCTTTTCCACTGTTGGTAGATGTGTAGACTGCTCCTCAAAAAACTGGAATTGGAGGTCCATTTAACCCAACTTTTTACTTCTGGGTATCTTCCCAGAAGAATTAAAATTATTATGCCTCAGTGCTATATTTGCACCCATGTTTGTAGCAGCACAGTTTTTAATAGTTAAATCTTGGAAACAACCCAGATGTTCATCAACAGAAGAATGGATAAAAAAAAGACACAATTTTTTAAAAAATATAATAGAGTACTACTCAGCCACAAAAATAAAATGGAGTTCTTTATATATAAAAGGATATAACTCAAGAACAGATTCATGGGTGAAATAAATCAGACCCATACATATAAACATTGTATTGTCTCCTTCATGTGAAAAAATGAACAATAAGATCAGAAATGTACAATAGATACTGTGAATTAGGAGAAAATTGTTCAAAAGAAAAGACATACACTTTGATGCTTAAGAGATTACATCCCATTATTGGGTGGCAAATGATGAAGAACTTCTCTGGAAGAGGAGGTATTAAGGCCACAGGCCTTGTAGGAGAAGCTGGGCAACGCCCCCCTCCCACTATCTGTGTACTTTAAGCTGCCCTGGGTGCGATCACCAAGGTTTGGCAACCACAGAAGGCCCCCAAAGGCCTGGCTGAAGAGACTCACAGGGGAGGTGGTGAGATACAGGAAGGTGCCATGTGTTAAGAAATAACAGACTCCACACTGTTTGCTGTGTCTTATATCCAGATGTCCCCTCAAAGCTTCATGTGCATACAGGTGGGATTTTGGGGAAGGAGGCTGGATTGTGGGTGTGTTACACTGGATTAAGGGTGTGTGGTAATTAGATTAGTCCACAGATTGGTTTGGAATAGCTCTGGGTGTACATGGTGGCAGGGCCTACCCTGGGTGTGAGTGACACCAACCTACAGGCTTGTAAACTGGATAAACC